AGTGTCTTTATATTCCATGACGGATACTGACGTGTTAGAACCACCACTTTAATTTTATTATCTTATGGAATATTATCCAAACGATATCTTTTTCTTCGGGTTCATACCATTCGTCCTCGAAGGAATTCTCATGCATGACATATTGATATATATTCTCCTTATCTGATAATGAATCGTTATTAGCAATGAGATTTTCCTCTGTAATAACGTGATTATGTCAAGGTTATATCGTTCATTATGTCGACGATCTTTTCAAATATGTTATCACCCATTGCCATGTCTGCATCAGAAATCACAGTAGATGTTTCACTGGCAATTAAATTATTATTACGAAGGCGTTCTTCCGAATACGCTAAAGCATCCTTTAACTGCTGCTTTTTATTTGCATAATCAATCATTATAATCATTTGCACAATCGCTTTCGACGAAGATATTAACTAATGAAGATTGTAATGAAGAGGCTGATGAATTCATTCTGACTTTTTACTATGGTTCTGGATGAAAGCTGACTGATCGAAGAATACATTTCGATGGCCACGAATTTCCTTGGATGATAATCCGGAGGATGATTTTTCAAATGACAATAATAACTTTTGCCCAGATTTGGTCAGAAGGTTTATCAGAGTGTAACTAATACTTACAGCAACTCGCATTAATATTCGGACACGATATTATTAGAAAAATTATTGCTCCCTTTTATTGTTTATGATAGTATTATTGAATCAATTGTTTTCTCATATAATAAAGCACTTCTTATAGTAGTTAGAAACATAAATTTTGTTTATTTATTGTGTAATTTTGTGTAATAATCAATAAACAAAATTGTGACAAAATTTAACGTCGCAAAAATGTATTCGGACAGTGAATGAATTACATTAATTTTATATAAAATATAAAACTTTTTAATCATGTTATCATAATATTAATATGTTGTCGGTTGACCCTTTTGTTTTACTACTTCATGTAATCGCTTGGGCATGTTACAGACGATTTTATTTAAATAATCCGGCGAAATCCGTTTCCATTCGTCTAACAAACGTTTTATCTCTGTTGTTGTCTTTGTAGGTGTTGTATGAATTTTGCAGTCCGATTGATCCTATAAATTATCAATTGGATTTAAATCAGGCGACTGAGGTGGAGGCTGCAGTACTTTTGGACAATTGTATAATAAATATTCCTATACAATTCTGGCCTTGTGTTTAGGATCATTGTCCTGATAAAATTTAAAACTGTACGTACATCTATATTTATAGCACTTGTAATTAAATTTTTTTTAAATGTCCAAATACTTCATTTTGTCCATAATACCATCGATAAAAACTAGTTCACCTTCACCTACAGACGACATATAACCCCACACTATTACACTCCTACCACCGTGTTACACTGTCGGTCTTAAATTTGAAATGTTTAATTCTGTATTTACTTTACGCCACACCATTTTCTGACTGTCAATCTTTTCTTGCGATTTGCATCATTCACATACAGCTTTCTATGAGGAACTTTTTCGTTGTAATCATAAGTTTTTAATACCCGTCGCACCCCTCGCCTGGCCGGCCACCATTCCACACTACTCTTACTTATATTTAATAATTTGGCTATATCTCTCTTTGATTTTCCTTTTTCTTTGTGATAAATAACCAATTGTCGGATTTCAAAAGATGTATTTCTTCCTTTTCGTCCCACTTTCACAAGTAAAGCGTCTGATATCATAAATAATTTCTGTGGTACCGAGTTCTCACAACGAATTTTTATTTGTTTATAAGATTTGTTTATAAACAATGTGTATTAGCGGCGTCGTCAATGTAGTACAGTATTTTATTCTGGCATCTAAGATGTTGTGTCCGAATATTTTTGCGACGTTAAATTTTGTCACAATCTTGTTTATCGCTTATTATACAAAAGAACATGTGCAATAAGTAAACAAAATTTATGTTTGTACTTACTTTAAGAAGTGCTTTATTATTTGTGTTGATTTGTGGCGGCTACCTCCAGACCCGCCAACAGATGACTCCTCTTCCTGCAAGTAACCGATCCGCCTCAATTTGTATATATACAGACTTCGTCCTTCCTACTGATATCCCAACGTCTAAGGCACGGGCCCGCACGGGCTCTCCTTTAATCCTTAACACACACACATTACCACCGCCAAAGATTCAGTAATATTATCATAAACAATAAAAAGGAGCAATAATTCTTCTAATAATATCGTGTCCGAATATTAATGCGAGTCACTGTACATGAGCAAGAGATTTTATATTTCTTTTGTATAATGATAATTTATATTTTTGTGTTGTGTCGGTAGTAAATAAAATTGCTATAGAAAACTATTCTTCTTGCATAGTATTCTTATTATTTTGTAACAAATCAAAACTGGTTTAAGAAAGTGTAGAAAATAAATTATTTTATCAAAAGATGTTATTCACAATTTATTTAAGATTATATGTTTTTATGGGCGAAAGAAGAATACAAAATACAAAATAGATTGAAAAAAAATTATTAATTACAGACAGGTTTCAAATCCCGAATCGCAGCCTGTAGGAACCTTCGGATGTTGCCGCTAAGTCACAATAGTACTCGGTAATGACTTGAAATAAATCTGTAGTTAAGGTAGTAATAAAGCTCTAATCATGAAATAAAAAACTGAGTAGTTAAATAACCTTATAATGCTATATTTTCTATCTTTTCTTCAACCGAATGACTAAATCTACAAACGTGCAAAGTTTCAGCTAAATCCTAAACAACCCCGATTGGTTAACCCACGCGTTGGGTCTTTCTAATCAGAGCTGTTCATTTTTCCGTTTCACTGCCTATTCCTTATACCCTTAGTGTGCTTGTTTTCCGAACGGTTAGGTGATCGCAGAAGATGAAGTTTGTCGTGATAACGCCGTGAGGCATTTCTTTTGGCCACCCGCACCACATCCACTTGGCAAAAGACCGACAAGTTTGTTTCAAGTACTCTTCAAATAATTGCTTAATTTACGGCGTTCTCTGTTTGATATTGAGAACACTCGAAAAAGGCTTTACTCAAAAATAGCTAAGTCGAACGAGAGTCATAAATTACGTTGAACGTTTGCACGAAAGAAAAACTCTACGCTACACATTGTATGCATATTTTAAGAAAAGCTGTAAAGTTTGATGGTGATGTGATAACGTTTAAATAAGTGAAAGTTGTATAAAAGTTTGGAAACAGTCAAATTGACCGGTAGTTAACCCCACTTGTTGAATGTTATCCCTAAAATTTTGATTGCAGTAACTTGCTTCAGTTCTGAATTTCCCAATGTTAGCTTGATGTTAGGTGATATGTGTTGTTTAGAGAAAACTATATATTTTGCTTTTGTTTCAGAGAAATGGAAGCCATTTTTATTTGACCAGCTTTGTAAATTTTTTAGTATGCTTTGTAGCGTGCTTTGAGTGGTTTTTGAATATTTCTCTTTGTATAAAATAGTTAAGTCATCTGCAAATAAGTAGGCTTTAGCTGGTGAATCTATTAAGGAAAGAATGGCATTTATAGATATTAAGAATAATGTAACACTTATCGCGGAGCCTTGGGAGACTCCATTTTGTAAAATCATGGACTCAGAAAAACAGTTGTTCACTATCACTTTAACGGATCTGACTTCTAGAAAATTTTTAATAAATGATAAGATACTTTCATAGAAGTCTAATTTCTTCAAGATATTTAGGGTTTTTTTCTCTACAGATCATATCATATGTTTTTTCGATATCCATGGATATAAGTACAGTGTAGTGTTTGTTAATCAAGCCATCGCATATTTGTGATTCTATATTAATTAATTCATTCATGGTAGAGTGATGCTTTCTAAATCGACTTTGGAGTGGGAATATTACATTGTTATTTTCTAGTACCCATTGCAGCCTCTGGTTAACCATTTTTTCTAATATTTTGCAAATGTTGTTTGTTAGCGATATGGGTCGATGGCTTCCTGATAATAATGGGTCATTGTCCGGTTTGGCGATTGGTGTAACTATAGCCTCACTCCACACTTTGGGAAAAACACCGTTTTTCTATACTATATTCTAGGGAAGCTTTGCCAATAGGATATAGAGAATACCATCAGGACCAAGGTAGGAATTTTTACAATTTTTTTAGTACTCTTGTTAGTTCTTCATTTGTGAAATATTTGTTAATTAATTATAGGTGGTGGTTATTAATTTTGGGTATCGATTCGGTTCCAGGAAATGTTTGGTTTGCTTTGTAACTGAGAAAGTCGTTGTCATAGTTAAAATCGCTTGAATTTTTTGCGAATGTTTCAGCTAGTGAGTTTGCTGTCTGTATAATTGTTGTTCATAGATTTGTCTCCTTTTTACGGTAGGTGTTTTGGATCACTTTTTGTGATCACGATTTTGTTTCATAAGATTTTTGTTGGGGTAGAACTATTTATTGTAGATAGGAAGTTTATCCAGGATTGTTTCTTACACTTAATTATAATTTTCCTTGCCGTAGCTCTAAGTTCTTTAAATTTTATCGTGTTTTCGGTTGTTTTTTGATTTTTATACCTACTAAAGGCGTGTTTATAGTTTTTAATTACTTTCTCACATTCCTGATTCCACCAAGATACGGTGTAGAGATTTTTACCTATTTTAGAATTTGTTCTTGGAATTGAATTATCGGCTGTATTTGTTATTATAAAGATGAATTCTTTGGTTATATAATCTATATTGTGTGAGTTAGTATTATTATTATCAGTGCCTAGAGCTGGGATGTTTAGTTCGATTAGCCTACGATAATCATTCCAATTTGCTGATTTAAATTTCCATCTGGGAGTTGGTTGGAGGTAGTTTTTTGATGAGTTTGCACTGCATAGAGTTAAGTCTATTATGCTGGAGGTCCCGCTGGCTGCGATGAAATGAGTCGGTTTTAGGTCGTTTAACACAATTAAATTATGGTTTAATAAAAGAGTCTCTGAGCCTCAAAGAGTATTTTGGCTGTTGAAGTCTCCGGTCACAATGAAGGGTTTCAGTAACTGATCAATAAGATTATTTAGTTCGGTTTTATTTAGGTGGTAGCTATTAGGTAAATATATATGACAAACATGTAATTTCGCAGAAGAATGTATTTTAATCATAGTTACCTCCATGTTTGAGTTAATATGGATTTCTTCGCCAAACAGTGAGTTGTTTACTGATATAGCTACTCCTCCACTAGCCTTTAGTGCGTTTCGATTTTTAATAACTCATGTAAATACACATTTGGAACTTTTTTGGAACTTGATGATCCCTGAACCATTTCTTCTTCATCTTCCTCATTTTTATCGTTTTCTTGTCCTTCTTCTTCTTCTTCCTGAAGAAACATCTCCAAACTCTCCTCAGTATAAGAGCTCGATTTTTTAATTACTGGTTTTCTTAGAGAAGATATCAGCCTAAAAGCCTATTCATAATTAAAGCGATTAAATAATATTTGATTTTTTCATTAGTTATAATGTATAGTAGTAAGTTAGAATATCGGTATTTAATTCGACCAGTTCAAAATATCCCTATTGCATACTTGTCTACTACATTTTCTTCATGCTGCAATCGATATTTTTCTGCTGCCTCCTCTGATAAATGACCGATTGACATTAAAGCATTTTCGATCACTATTGGCCCATGTATAAGATTATGGAGTGTTGGCGTCAATGGATATCAGCTATATAACTGAACGTACAGTTTTGCCGCATCCATAGTATAAATCTTGAATTTATTAATATTTATGAGGTATCTACTAGATATAACTTCTAATATAACTTTCAGTCTATTTTCGTAATAGAAATAAATTTTTTCAAAAATGTTAGCAGAAGACAAAATTTTCGTAGAATGAGTATCATTGAAGAAATGAAAGAAAGCATTCGCTTTTAGTCTATATCTTGTTATTAGACGTGTATATGTTACAGTGAAACACCGAAATCTGGAGAATGTCGACTTTCACCGGTGAATGTCAACATTCACATAGTCGCTTGGTGTATGTCCGAAATATTTGCTAAATTCCCTTATTTCTGACTTACACCGATAAATGTTGACATTCACCATGCACTAATGGTGAATGTTGAACATGTTGGAGATTTATATTTTCTTCTCCGTAATTCAGTCGGTATAAAACGCCACAAGGGTGACGTAACTTTTTCGCCTCTCTTTCTGAAAGGAATGACCAAGAATTTAAAATACACGGTACATTCTACATGAGAAAAGAAAATAATAGTAATAAAAAAATTACTTACTTATGTGATTCAAATCTTATTTATTGCAACAACTTAAACTATTATGACACTTTGAATTGCACAAGAGTCCCTTGCTTTTACAACTGCATTTATTTGTGGAACACTTCCTTTTGCAATGACAGCGTCTATAGCCTTGTCCCTCGCTTCTCGAATTAGCTGCAGCTGCATCTCTCAGCGACATTTCTTGAAAAGAAATCTCATCTATGTAAGTCGGAGTCTTCTATTCCAACAACAACCGCTAACACATTTCGGATATCTGTACGACCACGGTCGACATCAGGGACTTGTATTCGTACATTATCACCAATTTGAGCAGGAGGAAATTGTTTTTGTGAGGCTCGTAACATTTTTGTTGCTTGCAGTAGATTTTCTTTCGCGGCCGCTCTTTTTGTAGAAATTAACTCGTGTTTTTCAGTCAGAATTTAATGTGAAGACGTTGTAGGTTGTAGGTCCTCTCGAATATTTTTCTTTGGAATATGGTTTTCGGTATGACCACCGTTCAAATTTTTTTTATAAGCATTAACAGTTTCTTCAAGCTGTTCTTCGGTTTCAGAAGTATTGGCAGTTTCTTCGAGTTGTTCTTCAGTTTTAATATTTGCGATTTGTTCGCCAGGCAAAAAAGACGATGCTATGCCTCTTTTTGCTTTAACGCCAAACATGGCTTCATAAGGACTTTGGCGTATTCCTTCGTGGTATGTAGTGTTCTTGGCAAATTGAACAAAGGATAAACCATCTGACCATTTATTTGTATCGTTATCGTTCATCCATGCAGTTAGCATATTCTGTATATCCTGATTGGCCCTTTCAACTGAGCCTTGTGTTTGACTGTG